TTTGGCATATTTTCGCGCAGCATTGAGAATAGGCGTTTGCTATATCACGATACCCACGGCATGTTTATTTTTGCGAGCTTATTGCTTTTGAATCAGAGAGAACGCATTATACCAATACGTCCATAGAGTAGATTTTTGTCGTAATTTATAGTCTTGCATTGATCTCGTGGTATTCTTGCTGGTGTAGTGAATGAACATGCAACAGGCGGTGAGCATTGCGTCATGGCATCGCAGTTCTTCATGGATTGGGTATTTGATGCGTGATATACACGGAGAGATGCAACGTAGGTGAATTGAATGGTGATCATTGGTATAATTAAATGTGTATCTATAACTTGGACTCCTCCTTGACTGTGCCAATCTTGAGCTTAGGTGCGTACTTCTTCAATACGCTCTCGTTGTGGTACTGTGTCTTGGTCAGCAAATCCAAACTTCATGTGCGATAAGGCGCTTTCGATGATCAAATCAAGGGTCCAGTCTGCCATGATTCCGCTGGTACCGAGCACCGAGTACCATCAGCGCGGCGGCACCAAGACCAAGCGCGCAACAGCAAATCCGGCCCTGGAATCCCGCGCGTAACGAATCGTCCCAGGCATTCCTCCCTTCTCGCCTTCTCTATGTATTGGCTACAACGTACCTTCCAGAACTGCTTGCTAGCATCCTTTCCACCGACTCTCTTCAGAATCTTAGCGCCGCCTGGGTGCTCATCCACAAACGAGTCCATCTTGTATACATCGTTGTCGACTATTATGTACAGTCCCTTCTCGACTGTGTTGTGCTCGGCGACTTGCTTGGTGGTGAGGGACTCGGACATGGTGGGCTTATGGACGCGTTTCGGCGGTGGAGGCGGCGCGACGGCAACGGAGGGTTCGGTGGAGGTACGTCGGCGTTTGAAATGCGTGAGGAGGTCGCGACGGTCGCGTTTAGTTACGGGCTTTTGGAAGATTTTTTGGTGAAGGACTGGTGAGTATGGCTATGGTGATGCGATAGAAGTGATCACGGGCGGAGTCTGGGGTTGATCTAGTAATAGCTCGGGTTGCGGCTCGGTCGTGGAATGCTATAATGTGGAGGTATGCCGAGGTTGATGAATCGCGCTAAAGCTGCGCGTGGTAAGCTGGGTTGCGGAGATCGTGATTGGTGCTGACACGTCATTGCTCCTTCCCTTATCAACCATCAATCTTCCAAGGCCGTTGTATTATCCCCAGGCATGGAAATCACCTGGGTAGACATCGCGGCAGCGGTGAGCCTCGCAGGTAGTATCCATGGATTTCGCAAACTCTATCGCCACATGCTGCACCGACCGTCGAAGCGACCAGTGCCGCAGGCTGGATTAACACACGTCATGTTTTGAAGAAGGTTCTATTGCGCTTCGTCTCAAGGCGCAGTTTCTTCCTGCTCAACCTTGGTACTGATCGGGCCGATACCAGTGGAATTGTATACTCGACACCATTCATTCGATCTCTGCGCTTAGTCGCTTGGTCTACCACTACAATAACATGCGATTAAAGGGGTACAGCGAATCACAGCGTATGAAGAGCAAAGCCGCAGAGTCCCTCTCATCTTCTCAGATGTAAAATGGGGACTAGGCAGAGACTGTGTCCGGAGTAAGGATTTTTCATACGCTTCTGCCTCTCTGAAGCTACTGGTATAATTTAAACCACATCACCTACCACTTACCTTTCCAAATAGCTTGTGTATCTCCCAAGCACGCGACAAGTCGACTGCACTATCCCTCAAGGACTGTATTCCTCAGTCATACGACAAGATGTCAACGAAGCATACTGAAGCCCCTGTGCGCAACGCAGGGGTAGAATCACGCCTTCTTCAGCTACCCGGCGAGCTTCGCAACAAGATCTTCGAATACGCACTCACCATCGATGAAGGAATCTATTATCGCGAGGACAAACTGGGTGTGGGTTGGTTGTGTCTCCATCCTCAAACATTTGAAGAACACGTAGAAAGACTGTGCGAAATCCCCGCACCAGTAGGTCGTGTTCAAGAGTCAGATGATGACGCTCCCATGAGGAAGCGACGAAAAATTTCAGAGACGAATCTGACTACCAACAAGCCAGTGTCAGACACCAAGAGGACGATACACCAAGAGCCGGTCAGAGTGAATGGACATGTGGTCGCCAACCAGCTCCAGTTTGTCAACAAGAAGCTTCGAAGCGAGACCAAAGCGTTGGTCATTCGCCATAACGATATACACATCCGGGGTCCGCCGAACAACCTCACCAAATTCTTCAATAGCGTCGTGGGAAAGAGAAGACTATGGATCCAAAAGATCCACCAGAAAGTCACAGATTACCGCTTTGAGGATCTATATGGCCTCCAAATCGACGCAGAAATGCATCCCCGCTTTCTGATAGAGTGTCATAGCAGGAGCACTGAAGGCTGGGCGGAATTTTATTCTCTCGCTACTCGTGCAGCAAGTGGAACGCCGAGCATTGTCTTCAGTTGGTAGTACCAAGAGCGCTTTTGTACGAGCAGAATGCCAAGATCATCAGAATGGACCCACTACTAGTATATGTCAAGGTGTTTTCCAAAGATAGAGGCTTAGGCAAGGCTGTAGATTGACGTTCCTGCGAAGAAGATGGCATTGGGCGGAATTGGTCGATCTCGTCGTTGCGATGAGCATACAAAGGTGGAAGGAGGAATTGACAGCGTAGTTTTTAATGTTCGGGATCTAATAGCTCCCGGGATAAGATGATACGATTTCAACTCTACAATGCTACGTTCCAAGTGCAAACTGCGACAATATTTACATGTGTTCCGACTCTACAGTCACGAAGTAAAATGTGTTCATGCAGCGGGGCTAGCAACGGACGTTGTGAGCGGGCCGCTCTCAATGTACGTTCCCGAGAAGAACCAGTCTTCAGCACCAGTACCATCGTTGCCCTGGCGGGGCAGACGGAGGACACCAAGATGCCAGTCGGCGCCGTTGGAAGAAGTGCTAGTGGAGAAAGGTCCAGCAGTCTTGGTGAGCGTGCTGTTGCCGGTAGAGTGCCAGAAGGTGACTTGGTTCTAAGGGATGGTATTGAAAGTCACTATGTGCTCAAGGTCACTTTGTAAATGATTGCGACTTACGGAGGAGAAGTTGATCTCGTAAGCGACGTTATGCCACTCGTCGGCCTTGAGCTCGACCTTCCACTTGCTTTGGCCACCCACCATCCATTGCCTACAATGCGGTTAGCACAACCCCCGGATTGAGTCCATATATGTGGGTCAGCTCACAGATTGGTGTTGCTAGTGCCAGACTCTCCGTTGACCCATCCATATTTCAGCTCGGTGAAATGGCTCTCGAAGAAACAGATCTGGTGTTCATTCGTCGCACTTGGAACGTTGGTAGTAGACCTCTTGATCGAGAAATGGTAGTATACCGTGCCCTGGTTGATAGCAGCCTTCGTCTGGGGAATGAGCTCAGTCCTCCACATGTCGCTGTTCCACTTAGCCGTGTTATCGATCGTGATCTTTGCACCTTGCTTGCTGCCAGTGTCGCCAGAGTTCTTGTAGTTCGGTGACAGGTTTACGTATTTGGTGGTGGCGCCTGAGCCGTGGATATAGTACTGGTAGTCTGGCAGAGAAAGAGGCGAACGTCAGCTGTGTTCGCTGTGTAGCTTGACTGCAGCACTTACTGCCCACTTGATTTGCCCATGACCATTTGTCCAGATCGGAGGAAGTGGTCATGTCGTTAAAGCGACCATCCCACAGGATCGTGCCTATCTCTCGTCAATGGAATGTAACATGCAATGTGTGGGTTAGCAAACCTGCGGACACGGCGCTCACGAGCGCGTTAATGATAGCTGCCTTTCCGAACATCTTGACGATTGAAAGTGAAAGGGTCCCTGTTTGGAGAGACTGTGACAACTGAGTTGAGATACCGACAGCTGAGCTGTTAATGACGCTATATAAAGACCGCCTCAAGCCAACGCCCAAAGTATCTCGACCCGAATCTGGAGGCGAGGCTTCCATTTCGTGCTTAGAGCGCTGCACATCAATATCGGGGAAAAGGCACATGTCCGGCATTCTACATTGAGTATGTGCTCAATGTGCGCTGCGTGACCACTGTTCTCAATCAATCTATATGTTTTCGCCGCCTTTTCACATATAGTTGTGGACCTAGTAACGGCCAAACGGTCCGGGACACATTGCGCCTTGTCTCAGCCAGACGCGGAGATGGCGACCCGGTTGTCGTCACCGCGTCCGCGGCACATGGTTCGATGCCGGCGAGTTAAGTCCATACAGGTACGATATGATGGCGGGCTTGTTAATGGAGGAAGGCCGATCTGGCAGGGTGTCGAGATTAAGCTACATTAAGCCGAGGCCTACCCCACAACTAGTGCGAGCTAGGAAGCTTCGAATGGCGAGTCTGTCAGCAAGTTCGCAGGGTGACATGAACTTAAGGTCTGTCGCTCAGTGTAACTGTTTCTTGATATATGCGAATGGATGCCTTTGGCATGACATTGGTTGCGGCGCGGGCGCACTTGCCGTGCCGCATCTTCCGAGATCTACCAAGGGGACTGGAAAGAAGAACGCCAACGCCTCGATGCGTCAAGGAGAACCGCAGCAGCTGCGACCCAGGTGCAAACGGAGATGCGGCTTCCCGCTTGGGGAGAGGACGCTAAGGAAGTGGCGTTGTTTTTTCGAAGTTGATTTTCCGAGCTGCGCCTATGAGGGCTGGGCGGAACGCGAGTCATGTCACCAGCCGTGGGCACTTTGAGGGACCGAGCAAGATTTATCGCTGGAGAATGAACGAGACTTTACCTGGCATTTGAAAAGCATTTCAGAGTTGTCTGCAGCGCGAAGAGCTCTCTTTCATAACACCGCTGTTGGTACTAGCCGCTCAGGGATTAGTGTCTATTGGTCTCATGCCGTCGTGCACACGGTGGCCTCTTACACCCCACATGGACTGAGGCACAGCAAAAACTGCGCTACGATGAATGTCGTTCCCAATCGCGCCATGAGGTTCCGCCCTTGCTGTCTCACTTTAACTGTTGATCATGAATGTCGAAAGATGCATCGCGCTACACAATGAGATATTGCGCCACGGTTGGGTCAGCTCAGGTCGCAGTCCAGAGTCTCTCGAAGCCACCTGCAAGACATGGTTCGACACCTTTGGCGATGATGCCGAGGCTGTTCGTTCCCAGCTTTCGCCTGATCTTGTTCAGTTTCTCCAAGAAGCTCGAGTTATTGGTTATTCTGAAAGTGTAGTCGATCTATCCTTCTTCTACTGGCTACAAAATCTCGCTTCGCCAAACTTCATGTTTGAGCAAGCGGAAGATTGGTCAGACGATGGAGAAGATGGCAATCTTTTGGTTCTCTACGAGATGAACAACTTCTCGGGTCACTGGTGCGGACTGGTGTAAGTTGAATCAGACAGCCGCATACTGTCTTGGTCCGGAATGTGCTAATCTTGTCGTACAGATATGATCAAGAAGCGAACCTCTGTATCTTGAGCCCAAGCATCCATGACGCAGATGAGGTCTTTGAACAGAAAGTGTGGTACCCATTGGAAACCGCTCTGGAGTTCTGGTTGGGCCAGATTCGGAAAGGGAAGATCGTTGCTGCGCCCAAAGCTATACACGAAAGATCTGGCAATGAGCGCTACGACCCTTGGGAGTTTATCCCGTACAGCAAATCCATGCTGGAAGAGAATGTGGAGGCTTTCAATCGTCTAGTAGAAACTATCGAAACTCGGATGCCTTCCACAGCCGAGCACGCAGAAGCTGAACAAGTTGTACATGGGCTGGTCGAAGAGAGCATACTTCAAAGCATGAGTCTTCCCCATAACTTCACCTACGATTTCCTCCGACAGGCACGACGCCCACGCTTCCGAAACATAGCCCCAGATCTCGAAGTAACTACCTCCATATTCTCCGATCAGCCATTCGGTTCTTATCTCTCGTCTACCTCCGACCGGCCTCCTGTCCTTCTATTTCGCTTCAATCTCAGCACCGTCACTGGCGAAGAAATAGACGATCCATTCCCTGAATTCGACGGCCGTATAAAAACCCATACTGCGGGCCTATACCTTCTCCCACATTGGGTGACGACAGCCGAGGACGAATGTAGGTTGATTTTACCTTTTGGTATTGGAGCAAATGGTTATGCAAGGAGGACTGATGGCAGCAAGTTTGGGAATAGAGAGGATGGCGAAGACAGCCATGTAGATTTGTATCGTCCTGGATATCAGCCGCTTGAGGAGCCGCATGATCATAGCCTTGTCGATGTGTTGAAGAGCTGGACGGGTATGGTGGAGAGAGGCGATTGGCAAATTGATGAGAATGGAGTTGCAGGTGGAATGGATGTATGGAGAGAGGCGGATAGCAAGGAGAAATGGGCCGCGTATGTGATTCCGAGGGCTGTACAGGGGGTAGAGAGGTAGATAGCTATGGTGAAGTATGAGAGCTTTCAGAGGTAGAGCAACTAAAGCAACACAAAGCTACAATCGCGCCCCGGAATTTTCCCCTCAAGGCCTCAAGTAATAAACGCCTACGAGATAGCAAGCTGTAGAGGGAAACGGAGGTTTAGACTATTCGGAAAAGCCTCATTGGTTACCTATTTCTACTGGAAAAGGCTCTCGAGGTGGCGTCGCACCATTCTCAATTTCTTTTTCTTCGTTCTCTACTCGATATCCCGGACCTTCCCAGCAACCAGGATTCCACCATGCATCTTCCCAGAGATCTATAGCATGCTGCCAGATGATCTTGAGGCGCTGTCCCTGAGACGATGCGCTCTTGCTAAAGTCATCCAAATAGCCCCTGTCGAACTTAACCTGAGATGCCTTACAAACTCTCGGACCCCGCAAGATCTCGGTGTCTTGTCCATCTTGTGCAGGCTTCGGACGCCCAAGCTTAATCTTGAAGCTGTTGTACTTGAAGTCCAAGCCCGCAGTCTCCGAGTAAAGTTGCCTGTTCGCATACTTGAGGTTGTTGAACTCAACGTAGCGCTTCACGGGAGACGATGTTTCGAGTACAACGGGATCATCCGAGCGCCGCACAACCTGCCGGGGTGCTTCCGGCGAGTAAAGGTAGAGCGGACTGGGTGAAGTGAGCACGAGCTCGTATATTTCTGGAATAGCATAGTTAGCGCATGACCAGTGCACCATTCAACGTCGACGTAGGAACGATAAATCACTCCAGAGCTCCGACTTACTGTTTCGTAGTTCACCCGGGAGTTGGAGCAGGGGCGATTCCGTGGACATGGTATTAAATTCGTCTGCTTGTCTGCTTGTACCGTACTTGTGCTGGGTAAACTAGAGTGACGTATTCGGGTCGAAATTAAGTATCAGGCGCAGACTTTTGTAGAGAATGGGTGGGTTTAGATTCTGCTTGGAGAGAAGAGGAGCACTCAGGGGGTGGAAGTGGGATGCTTTAAAGGGATGAGCCACTAGAGACTCTAGGTAAAAAGGGCACTGCATTCAACTCATTCACGATACTATCGAGTGAGTACTCTCTCGTAAATTGAAACGCTCTGGATCGCGCTTTGCCTCTGTTGAAGTGGTTAGCCTCACGTTGACAACACTGTTGGGTCGGATCGTATCGATCGCGAGTTTCACTCACGAGCGTTCACTATTTGTAACCCTCTACTACATATACAAGGGCTTCCTCCCTTCTACATAACAACCACATCACAACTCTTCTTGATCTACAAATACTCACGAATCCACCAATCACTCAACCCCTACCAACGTAATCTGCTCCCAAAATCTTCTACCAACGCGGAAAGCATGCCAATTAGGTCGAACATGTTTTCAGATTTCATCTGGTCGTTTATGTCGAAACCGGAAGCTGTAAAACCAGCGACCAAGAGCCGCCTCTTCCTTCTTCCTCCCGAGCTCCGGAACGTTATCTACGAATACGTCCTAACCACACCAGACGCAACGCTAAAGTACACGACAAACGACACCTCCGGCCACAAACAGCTCAATCAGCTACAGTATGTCAATAAACAGCTACACCAGGAGTGTGCACACCTTGAGTTGAAGTTCAATACTACCATCACGATCTCTACCCGGGCCGAAGGCAAGACCACTGCCACCGAACAATTCTTTGCGCTTCTCGCATCTCTTCCAGAAGAGAAACACAGATGGCTCCGAACTGTGGCTCTGCAAAATACCGACGCTGATGTGAACGAGTACTTGGCGCAAAGAAATAATCCAGGCAAAAGGGCCCTCTTACAGATCGACAACCAAGCCAACATGTGTCGACTAGCGAAACTGTGCAGACAGATGCCATATATTACCGTGGAACACAAATGGTCAATGTTCAGCGCCAAAGTGCTGAAGACAGCCTCTAATGGACCTGTCGATCCTCTCATGGTAATCGCACTTGGGGTTGCCTTATCAGAGCATCTCTTAGGTGACTCAAGGACCGAACTCTGGCCTATGGAACCGAACACCAGACCAGTCATAGAAAAAGGGTTGGAGATCGTGAGAGGGTGGAACAAATTTGATATAAAGGGCGGGACGTCGCAACCATTACATGAGAGTTTACGGGCGGATAATTTGCACTTCTTCCCCATGGAAGATATCCTAGAATCGGAGGAAGTCTCCGTACGCACAGGAACTCACTTCAACGATAAAGGGGAGGATCTTGCGCCGATATGGAGAGCGGCGATAAGGAAGTGGGTAGCGGAGGGACTATAAGGGAACTTTTCATCAGATCATGTCTACTCTAAACAACCCGCGAGAAGATGCGGATCGATGAGCAATTATAAGCATTCATGTACCTCGTCCATGTAATTCGCATCGGTGATGCCGTCCTTTGCAGGTGACCAATGTAAACTCGCGATGAGTGTGTCTTCATAGCTGTTGATGTAGCCTCCACAGGGTCTTGTTTTGTAGTAATATTTGACTTATTCGCATGCGTAGAAGGTTAGGCGACTTGTATATGATTCGTCGTTCACAATTCTTCTTTGTTTCATCGGCACCTGTGATGTTTGTCGTGTGAAAGCGAATGAAAGAGGTGAATGAGATGAAAGCAGCCGCGGCCAGCGCACGGGCCCGCAGTTGCCTCGGTGACATCACAAACAAGCTGCGCAGACTTTCCCAAGTCTGCCTATCGCCCATCACAGCGACCACACGAGCCAACCCACGCCTGTCTCACGTCCGCCCTACAACTGTCTCAGTCGCCGGCCCCGCTCAACCGTAAACTTAATTCCGCGACAAAAAAGGACCCCACCACATCGACATGGCTGACGCGCGCGGAGAGTACTGGTACTATGAAGATGGCGTCGACCCCAGCAAGATAACAGTCCCGGAGCTGAGGAGCATCTTGCTGAGACATGGCGTCACATATCCGTCCTCGGCAAAGAAGCCCGCTCTGGTTGGCATGTTCGTCGACCTGGTCCTCCCTCAGAAGTCCAAAGTCCAGCGGATGCAGGCACACACGAAGCGATCGACGCGGGGCATCGTAGACGTCCCCTCCAGCTCAGCCAGTACGGTCGAGACAGACGACGCCGAAGACGAAACACTCATAGCACCTACGCCTGCGAAGACACGACGCACAACCCGCCGAACCACGCGCGAGCCAACAGAGGAGGCAGAGGTGCCGGCACCACGCGCCAAGACACCCGCGCGCGCTGTCCCTGCCAAACACAGCAGAGCGCTTGAGCCCGAGGTGGATGAGAGGCCTGCAGCTAGGCGTACACGCAAGAGTGTCACTCCCGCGCCTAAAGAGCCCACGCCTGAGCCGGAAGCGTGGCATCGCAACGATGCTGCCAGCCCCTTCACCCAGGAAAACCCGTTCCAAAGCGGCAGCTCTCCTGCGGTCCCAGATACCACATCGCGCGACCGGCGTAGGAGAACTACTGGATTTGGTCAGCAGGAGCGGCGCAAGAGCGATGCGCACCGCCGGAGGACAGTCCAACCCAAGGCTGAACAACTAGACGAGGGCATCATGGTACCTACACGTGGAACGTTCGATGTGGCGGACCCACGTACACAGCATCAGGAAGACGATCTTGCAGATGCCGGCGAGGAGTTCACCCCAGAAGAGCAACTTGAACTAGTGCGCGAGCGTGCAAAGGCTGGCGAGGTCGACATTCTGCCTCCACGCAGACGGAGGCAAAAGGGCAAAGCTACTGGTACGATCAAAGCAATGGCCGGAACTCTGCTCCTCACAGTATCAGCCGCTTTCGCTGGCGTCTGGCGACAGGAAAAGATCGATGTTGGCTTTTGTGGCATCGGACGAGATGCTACTGGACTTGGTGGTATGGAGCTACCGAGCTGGGCAGACCAGCTCCTCCCGCAGTGTGAGCCCTGCCCACCACACGCGCAGTGTTTCCGCGGGTTGACTCTGAGGTGCGATCCCGATTTCATTATGAAGGACCATCCGCTGTCACTCGGTGGCCTGGTTCCTCTCCCTCCGACGTGTGAGCCAGACAGCGAGAAGACGCGGAAGGTGAATGGTATCGCGAACAAGGCAGTGGAGATTCTGCGACAACGCAAAGCCCAGTATGAGTGTGGGGAACCAGATGCGGCAGGGAATCCAGTGGAAAGCCCTGAAGTCAGCGAAGGAGATCTGAAGCAGCAGATGGCTTCTCAAAAGAGCAAGAGCTTGACAGACCAGGAGTTCAGTGAGCTGTTCGACAGAGCCTTTCCTGAACTGACTATGCGAGAGGAGATAGTCGAAAGCACCGATGGGTAAGTACCTCCTTTCCAGTTCTCCAACCACTTGTGCAACATTTCTGACGTGGAATTGTACTAATCAGTTACTCTTCCTTGGAAACAGAACAACAGGCGGACGACGTCTCGCATCCACCTCCCTCGCCAAGC